CATTAAACACATGGATAGTTTTTTAGGCCCTCATACAGATGTATGACATGAAAGTAAGTAAAAACTAACTGTAGCCTAATTAAGCCACGGATGGAATAGTACGGAAGGTTTAACTTGAACTAAAAGTACTCATTATGCTGACTTATATAAATTAGAGTAGCGATTAGATCATAATACTGATTCATTAATGTTTCTATTCCTTTAGTAAAGCAACAGGAGATGTTTCTAATGATTTTAAGCTTAATCTGTAATAATGCAGTAACATACATTAGTAGAAGTATAATGATAAGTAACTAAAGCCAACATACGGTTATTTCAATCAAACTATTGTGACGTAGAAATACTCAAAGAACAGTAGTCAAGTAAATATACTAAGTTACTTTCCACCACTAAACTGTCCTTTAGTGGTGGAAAGTAACTTAGGACAGCGAAGAAAGTGAGACAGGTGCAACAATATATGTTAAATAGTGCCATGAAAAAATATTTGCCTACTTCTTGATTTGTTAGTTTTTTAAAAAAAATATTTGTCACATTTAAATGTTTCAGATCATAAATTACTACTACTATTACTACTATTAATAATAATGGTAATAAACAAAGACAAACTGTGTAAATACAGTTTTTGAATGATAATGTGAAAATAGAGCTGTTGTTATAGGGAGATGTTGTCCTGTAGCACCCACTATTATTGAAAAACCACCGCAGCGTATGTGTTCTATAAGGATTAAATTGCTGGAAGTTAAAATAGCCAAGGGCCAAAACAGAAATTGTCATTTTAGAGATATTTATTTTTTGGATGCTCCTGGTATTGTATAGTTTAAAAGGGTGTACACCTTTCCTTTCAGTGGATCATGCAGTAGCAAAGTTAGACCAAGCACAGTAGCAAATCTAAAAAGAAAAAAATATCATGGTGTTGCAACCAGCCAGTGAAAGTCCAGACATCAACCAGACTGAAATACTGTAGTGAGTTATTAAGAGAGCTATTCATAAAGGAATATCTGTAAACATCAATGAATTGAAGTAACTTTTTTTTAAAGAAAAGTTGACTAAAATTCCCCCACAGTGATGTGGGAGAAAATTGGACAAAAAATCTTCAACCTTCAAGTGGCTTATTACTGGCAGAGGTGGTTCCTCAAGTTACTGAATCTCATTAACTTACTTGCTTTTTCACAAACTGTTTCTGCATATTTGCTTAGTGTTTATTAATAAATAATAACACTGTGTATTATGTCATGTTTTGTAGTTCATCTGAGGCTGTATTTACCTCATTTTAAGGCCTGCTAAGAACCGTATTATTATTATTATTATT